AATGAAAATAAAACATTTCCAAATGCTCTAGAAAAATTGATGTGGTACTACACCTGTTGATACCCTTTTTGCACAGAGTCATATAAACCCCTGCCTTACGTGTGTTGCCCTTGGTTCCCCCCCCCCACCGAAGTCCGTGTTTCAAATATGTCCATCCTTCGGGTAGTGCGCATTGCACTCCTTGTGAATCTAGTTTCCAGGATATGATCCTTTCCCTGAGTTCTTCCTTAAAATACATGTTACTTTAATTATGTGTGTGTATATATTCAGTGATCTCAAATGAAATACTACTTTACCATGGGGGTGGGAGCAGATAAAACAAAAAATTCGGTAATACATCTATTCTCTAGCACTATCACAAAGGGGTGTATTCTCATAGCAGCAGCAGCACTTAACCCACAAACTCTCATACGCAACCCTAGGAACTAGATTTTTGTCTAAAGCAGTATTTATTCTTATTAAAAGGATCTAGGACTCCTAGAGGATATATAAATCCTGCTTAGAGCAGAAAAAAAAAGAATAGATCTTGCACGTCCTATTGTTCCCAGAAAGCAAGGATGATTTCAAAAACATGAAAGAAATTGTGCTCTAGAAAGTCTTCTGAGCTGAATGAGAAGCTGTGTGCAAGATATAGTTAAGACTGAAAAAATGCAATATGAACAATGAGCAGAATCTCTATTAACTTTCGTTTTCGAGTTGAAGAAGTAGGGATAGAGTTGTTGATTACATTCTAAATTCTTCCTAAATAATAGAAAGCAAACTTTTTAAAGCATAAAAGAAAGAAAGAAAGGAAGGAAGGAAGGAAGGAAGGAAAAGGAAATATGAGATTTTGTGATAAAGACACAGCCTTTATCACAGGTAAAAGTTAAATGGTTAGCTTGACAGGACTTCAAGGGCAAGTTTAAATAGTTTGAGTGCAAAGAATTAAACAGGATCGCTATCCTTTGCCATATATAAAAATTAATTCAAGATGACTAAAAGAATTAAATGTAAGGCATAAAGCCATGAAAATTCTAGAATATAGGAAACACTCTTCTAGACATTGGTCTAGACAAAGAATTTATGACTAAGACCCCAAAGGCAAATACAGCAATAACAAAAGTAAATGAATAGGACTTAATTAATTAAAAAGCTCTGCACAGCAAAGGAAATAATCAATACAGTAAATATACAGTCTAAAGAATGGAAGAAAATATTTTCAAACTGTATATCCAATAAAGGGCTAATTTCCAGAATCTACGAAGAATTCAAACAAATCAACAAGATAAAAACAAACAACCCTACCAAAAAGTGGATAAAAGGCATGAAATTTTTAAAAAGAAAATAGACAAATGGCCAATACACTTGGGAAAAAAAATGTTCAACATCGTTAATCATCAGGGAAATGCAAATTAAAACCTCAATGAGATACCATCTTACCCCTGTCAGAATGGCCATTATT